TCCCGCACTGCGGCCTTTCTAGTGCACTCGTGAAGCTTTTATCTGGTCAGTCCAGCGCATTGGTGATCTGCCGCGCGCCCTTACGCCCTCGACTTTGCCCTGCACCACCAGTCGTTCCACTGACGCATCTTCTCGGCGTGAGATGATGATGACTATATTTTAGGTTAAATCGAAAATGATTTTCAACATTTTGATTTCATCATCATCATCATCAGCCTATTAATGTCCCCACTGCTGGGGTACAGGCCTTCCTTATGGATGGAATAGAGAGATTGGGCCATGACCCATCACGCGTGCCTAGTGCGGATTAGCGCGTGCAAACGACTGCAGATGCAGCCGGGACCAACGGCTTAACGTGCCTTCCGAAACACGGAGAAACTCGAGATAGAAGATTTTTGGTCACCCATCCAATGACAGCTCACTGCAAAAGTTGCTTAACTTCAATCGCAACCGAACGCGCTAACCACCTGCGCGTTCGAGCTCTTACCTCTGTCTTTTTGATTTAATCTAAACTGAAAAGTAACAACGTGTCTCAGTAGGCCGCGAGTCCTAGTGTATGCGTAACTTTATACTTCGCAAACTTAAGAGCCCTTTCACATTTTTTGCAAAGAATCGTAATTTTTGAGCGCCTAATTTACCCCCTTAGATTTTTTTTGACTTTTTCCAATATAAGTAAACAGTAGATTTATTCTTCCTATTGAAAGTTAATGTAGAATATTTACAAATACTATTTTCATTTTTTTTGTACGATAATATGCACAACTTTAAACGCCTGAATCTCTTAGTAATGTTCAATAAATTAGATCAAATTAATTACTACGACATCAGAAATATGTTTTTGTTGTAACATAATGTATTAGAATTTTGATTTTCCATCTCAATAATTATCAAAAAAAAAACATCTAACCTCCGTGACTTTTCCAAAAAACAATGCAGGTTTACCTCGTATTTTGATATAGAATTAAAAAGAATTACTATCAAAAACTTTCATAAAACTAATCTACCATCATTGAACTACTGAAATATGTATATATTTTTATAATTAGTTTGTTAATAATTATTTTATTAAACTCGAAACATCACTCGTAAAATGCAATAGGTACTAGTGCAAATCTACCTACGCGCGAACGGCTTCGGCGCAATTATGTAAAAGGGCTCTTAAAAAATAAGAGAGCAAGCTTATGTATATTAAAAATTACGTTGTAGATAGATACAACAGCTGGCAATTGACTATATTTGTTCCGCGCGTCTCTACCGGGCCGCAACCTCAACCTTCATGCAACGACGTACTATTTATAAACAACGCAAACGGGACGTATATCGCATCCATACCAATATACCCAGTGTAGTGTAGCAGCATGCGTATATAGTGCATGAACCTTTGTACTGAGAAACTAATAGCTTCTAACAACCGTATTAAGAACAATAGTTACAGATAATTGATGTAGCTACCTACTCCTCATTCTAAACCACTTTGTTTCTCGTTTTATCTGCAACGATAAGGAGCGCATTGTCATTCTATTACTAAAAAAGATCTGTTTGGTAAGTGTTTCAAAAGTCATTATGAACTTGCAGGTCAAATCAGATAAGTTTGAAAAAACTTGTTTTTTATTTTATTTTGATTGACGTCACAATAACACGGGTGGACTTTGGCCAAAATTCAACCTTATCATTCTCAAATTATTTTTATTTAACCTATTCTATGCTATCAGTGTATTTTGACGTTCAAACAATATTTGATTTGATTAGGTACCTGGTAATATTTATTTATAAGTAAATTAAATCATTAAACGAGCGAGCCTTACAGTAGTCGCGTATGATGTGTAACATTTGAAACCTCACCTTATATTAGTAAAAAAAGAAATAAAACCTACTAGAAAAGGAATAAGCCATTTGAACATTATATTCTAAAATCAAATCAAATAGCGCGCGCTTTCGCGACTTCCTGTTACACACTTCCGTCCCATTTCACGAAATCACTCCCACAAATTGCAGGAAAGCTAAAGGAAAGATGTTACACATCAAAAATGTTTGTAAAAAAGAGAGATTGTACGTTTATACGTAAGTATAAAGTTTAATTTTTCAAAACATTAAATGAATATTCTAATAAACATCATTTTAATTGATGTTTGGCCACTCTTCTGTGTCTGAAAATTTATTTAGCATCACCTTGACTTAGTGTTGCCCAAATGCAAGAACAAGACGAGACTTAGCCAGTCTTGGTCTTGGTCTTGCGCCAATACACCTGGTCTTGGTCTTGGTCTTGCAGCAAGAATCTTGCAAGTCTTGCAATTACCTATTAGACTATTGCTATTTATTAAAGTTTACTTTAGATCTTAGAAAAACGTATTAGAATTGGAACATTGTTAGCTTGAATTAACCTAGCCATAGTAAAAACCAATCAGATTAATAAATGTCTGAAGATTTGATAAGAAATTCGAAAAATCAACTTTCTGCCTTTGATGCCGCATTATCAAAGTGCCGATGGTTAAAACAAAACTATGCATGCACTCTGTTTGATATTAATGGATATTTTTTTATTCGCTATGTATGTTTATGGTATTGGTCGTAATGCGCATAGGTCCAGTTTTTCATATTTTTTGATACAGTTTTTTGCGTCTCATAGAATTCCCAAGCGTACCTATACACCGAACTGTTATACCTAACTACTCCGTGAAATAGCAATAGCGGCAAGACTCTTGCGTCTTGCAGCTAGGACTTAGCTCCTAGCTGCAAGACGCAAGAGTCTTGCCGGATTAGTCTTGTTCTTGGTCAAGTCTTGCACGGTCAGTCTTGGTCTTGGTCTTGCTAAAAATACGCGGTCTTGTTCTTGGTCTTGGTCTTGCAAAAATGCAAGAACAAGACCAAGACTGAATTTGGGCAACACTACCTTGACTACCTGCCTGCGTGCGGTGATGAGAGAGCGGGTACTCCTGTCACGAGTTTTATCTTCAACTTAATAGGAGAACTCATTGACTGATAAAACATATGTTATTTAAAGAAATAAACTTTTCATTTTTAAAATATTCCATTAAATATCAAATATGATTAGCCTGTTTTCTATAAAGTAAAGCCACTTCTTCAGCGAGTTGAACGTAACAAATTGTGCCTGATGCCACCCTTATCCCGGTCAAAGAAAATCCGCTATCTAATACTTTTCCATACAGTAAAATCTTAACAACGGACAAGACAATTTCGGAAACTATAGAGATGTTTACAAGATTTATGTGAGATTTCCTTTAACATTTACGTCCACTTGCAGCAGTTTGGCTAAATCGCGATTTAACTACAACTAGATTTAGCACATATACTAATTCCAAATTGACGTTTTGCCACTTTTTTATGATTTATATCCAGTTTAAGCTGAATCGAAATTTGCTGCAAGTTCCTTAATCAAAAAAAAAATTTGGTATATGATAATGAAATATGCAAATATCCTATATAATTAATTATTTTTAATAACCCGCTCTCACTTCGCTTGTGGCGTAGACTTTACTGAATGCTGTCAAGCTCGTTTTATTTTTAAATATTTCACCACAGAGTATCTTATTAATGATGAAAATCGAATCAAACTCCATTGCGTGGTTTAGTAGCGGATACTTTATTTACACTAGCGATCTTTGCACGGGGATGAAATTTATGTTAACGCAATTAAATATAACCTGAGTAACTCAGGGATAATTAAGCATTCTAATAAATTTAAATGGCAAAAGAAAATTTTAAAGTAGCCTAGAAGTTTTTGAGTTCCGTCGTTTCAGACACACAAAATAACAAATATTTTCTTTTTATAAATTTACAAAAAAAAAGTTTAGGTATATTTCATTACGTAGTCGTAAGCTAGTATGTTCTAAAATCGTGGTAAGGAAATTAGCATATACATATGTATTTATGTGTTGTCTACGTACTTACATATCTCAATACCAACAATACCTCTAACATATTACTATATATCACTAAAAAGTACTTACTAGATAAGTTATACGAGTACTTATAAAATAAATACAGACTTATTGTGTACACAGAAACGCACTTTGTTCATGCTAGATATCAAATTATTTTTATAGCCAGTTTGCGTAAACGTCACACAGCCACTTATAAGTTTTCAATCCTATAAATGTGAAAGTTTGTATGTTTGTGTGTTAATAAAACTATAGAACAGATTGGTACATTTTATTTTTTATTTGATGGAAATTAATGAAAATTTAAATTATGTAATTTATTAACATTTTTTTGTGACATAATTAATCTGTTGATAAGTAACTACTGTTTTGAATTAATTTTAAATTAAATATATGATTAATGGTATTTTTAGTGACATGTACCTATTTCTATAGTAATTGATTACGCTGCCTGGTCCGCGTGGATTTTTTTTCTAGTAAACTTTTCTTTAGATTTAAACATCTAGCAGTTAATTCCTTAAAAAATAAATAAAATCATAACTAAATTATTTTATTTTTATTTTATATAGTTTATGACCTGGATTGAGACATAGGACGCTTTGTATCCCGAAAATGTTTATGGTTACTGTGTGATTCCCATTGAAACTAAAGTTAACACGAGCGAAATCGTAAGTATTTATTCTGACCTATATTACATCTTATAAAGAAATAGCTACCTGCAATACTGATGCTTAATCAATTTCTTATGCTTTAAGGTATTACTGATTGACTTTTTATAAGGAAAAAATATTCAATGACTGCATTTCTAATAATTTTTCACAATAAAAATGTAGGTTACCAAATAAAACGTTAAATTAGTAACATCAATAAAACATCACATCACCTTATTTTTGCCAATTGTTTAAAACTTCGAAATTCTAAGGGCCACTTGTACCAAATTAATAAAAACTATTTAATTTTTGAACTTCGGTGCAAGTGGGCGGGCGTAAATGAAGTTACTTAAAACTTAAAGAAGTCTTTTGCAATTACCCTTTATTCAATTATTTTTAAGCAAACACCTACAAATATACCTACTTAATTAAGATAAATAAAAGTACTTACCAATGAAGGTTTGTCTGCCCATAGCTCGACGTCGGCAAAAACGTGGTCCGTCAACGATTCATTGGTGACCTGGATTTCGCCCCAGGGCGAATTCAACACGTTGCAATCGAAATTCGGTGCAGTTTGAGTAGTCAATGACCTCACCAGCTGCTGTGAGAACACACGATTTGCCTTATGCCTTTTGTTGGCGCCATTTCTTACACAATAGAACAGTTGGCGCGAAAAATTGCCGCGCAAAACTTTTAAATTGGAAGTCATGTTTTCGCTCGCGCCGCTGTTTACCCGCGAACCGTTTGCTCTGTAATGTGATTGTGGGCACACGCGCGGGTTTTGGCGCCTTTACAACAACGTCTAGCCGCGCCGAGAGGGCAAAGTCCATTTGGTTTATTTATCCATGCATTCTTCACAAAACGTCACAATTTAGATATCATATTATGCGTAAAACCGGGAAAGATGACACAATCTCTTCGATTCAAGGTAAAGATTTATAATATCAACTAGTTAACATTATTCTATTTATTATGAAGTACTTTGTTAAATATATGCTTTACCGTCCTATTTATTCATTGTATTCTGCTATAAGTATAGCTCTTTTTAAACTTTTCTATTACCTTATGGATAAAATAAACTTTTCTGTTTACTTTTCATATAAAGTTATTGTATTTTTTAAGCATTAACTGATATATTTATAAAACTAAACAATAGTTATTTATTATACAAGAGTGGAAAGTTCCTTTTTAACCGCGTGCTCGATTTGGATGACCGAGCAAGCGAAGGATTCTAAAGTTGAATCACGAGCGCAGCGAGTGATTCTAAATTAGAATCCTGAGCGTCAGCGAGGGAAACAAACGAGCACAAGGTGAAAAATCTTTCCACTCGAGTGCAATACGTAACTTTTCATCCCACCTCAGCGAGGAAATGACAAAATGAAAAAGAAAACAATTTATAATGACAAAATATTTTTATTTCAATTAAAACACATTAAGATAATCTATAAATTGAAGAAAATAATAAGAAGTAGAAAATAATTAAGAAATATTAAATGTAACGTTGCTACAGTTACTTATGTTAAGTTTAATATTTTTGTTAGGTAATGTTATGTTGGTGTTTGTGAATTGTGCGCTGTTTTGTGGTAAACTACTCGTATCAGTAATTTTAAATAGTTGTGCCGATTCATTGGATTCTATTGGCGTAAATGTTGGCGAGAGAGGGCTATTGTTTCCAATCTTATGGGGGCTCATTTTAGATGTAGAAGGGCGAGACCAAGAATCTGACAGAGGTTCTTTCAGCGTTATGGCCTCCACGATACTATTACAAATTTTTGATTTACTTTGGATTGAATCCTCTATGTATCCCTCTACAACCGAATTAGACTTCCAGCCTCCATGGCGCTTAAGCGATAGAAGATCAGCCCCTGATTCGGCCAAAAGTGTGGCTGAGGTTCTTCTAAAACAGTGACCGGTGTATAACGGGGGTTCTAAAAGTCCGAGAAAAGTTGCTATTTCTCGTGGAATACTGCCAATTTTATTCTGACCCATAGGTTGTCGGATACACTTTCCGTTGCGATATTGTAGAAAAAATCGTTCAATTGGGGTGTTAGAAGGACGTAAAGCTTGATATTTCTGAACAATGTTTACATATTCCTTGCGAATAACGAAGTTGCGGTCTTTTTTTGTCTTGGTATTTAGTACATTAATTAATAGCAATTCATCAGAATTATGAGAATATTTTGATACGTTATTGACATTAAGTAGTGTAAGTTCATTTGTTCGACATGCTCCGGTTATACCAATAATAAGAACAACCTGTAACAAAAGAAGTATTTATAATCGTAAATAAATTAATCAAATTAAAAATATTGTAAGTACTATGTACAATTTTATCAACAACAAAAAATTACACGTATTGACTTACTTTTGCCGCTAAATATACGGAATCAGGTGCTTCATTAATAAACTTTGCAATTTCAGATGCTGTGAAAACCTTCGATTTTTTTGGTTTATAACCAGATGAGGCTCTTTTTAAAAATGCCACTAATTTATGATAGGTGTCGATATGAACGTCTTTCTTCATCTTAATTGTTAATTTTAGCATTGAATACGTACTCCATAGCGTGCTTGCTTTCTTGGTCTCAGATAATTCTATAAAATATGCCAGCAAAACGTTTTCGGAGAAAGTTTTTGCTCCTTTAGCTAGTCGCCACATGTTAAATATATCGTACTGTTTCAAATACTTCTCTCGTGATTGCTGAGGGAGAAGGCTCATTTGCGCATTATTAACTGTTTCAGTTAACTCAGTTGGCGTTAGATAAACTTCATCGTCGCTAATGTCACTCATTTTAGTTGATTTTTTTGTACAGTTTTTAGGTTATGTTAATTATATTAAGCAATAAAACGTGAAAAACTAGAATGGCGCGAAGCACGCAAATAAAACAAAGAAACCAAGAAGGTTCCAAATTTAAATTTTTTCACAATTTAAAAAGTTCTAATCATAAATTTGGCACCATAGAGGTTACATTAAATAGGTTTAATGACGTTTTGAATTTACAATTATATTGAGTACTCATTATATGTGATGTTCTAAATTCAAATCTACTTTGCCGCTCAAGCGAATAAAATAGAATTTTCCAGCCAGATTTCGAAGCGCAAAATTACACTTTCCGAGGTGGTGGGATGAAAAAATAATTACCTACTATAAACAATTACATACAGTAAATATTTTTTTTACTGACAGACAGGTTTCAGATATGATTCGAAACCTCTCCTTCCGCAATCCGGGCGGAGTAAGTCTTAAAGTTTGTAAGTTTGTTGCTAAGTCTGGAACTACAGAACAGATTTCGATTTTTTTCACCAGCAGAAAGCTACATAAGAGATAGAGTAGGGTAGGTACCCCAACTATGAATCTCATGTTATCAGTACCCTTAGTACGAGTTTGAGCTCACGAAAACTATCATAGTTTTCGTAATTGTAAATTATGTTTCTATGTCCATTTTGGTGAAAAGTGTCCAAATATACTTAAAATTTAAGAAGACACAAATGATTTAATGATAGAATTTAAACACTGTTTATTTGTATTGAAACGAAAACAATGAAATCAACGAGTACGAGCTCACGAAAACTATCATAGTTTTCGTAATTGTAAAACTCGTACTAAGGGTACAGAAGCTTTGCTCGAATCACAAATTCTTACATGAGACAGTAAAATAAAGGTACTTACCATTTTTAGTGGTGGTGTTATGTTTCCATCTGTGATTAATATTCCAAGGCTCTACGCAGGCCACTCCGTGAGATTGATGGGATGGGATGGGATTTGAATTTGAGAAGTGTTCATATTTTTCCGCTAAGTATCCGCTATAATTGCGACTGGACTCTGACTTGGATAAAATAAATAAATACAAAAAAAATGTGTGCACCGAGCACACATCTTAAGTGAAACTTCTTTTCTTAAATAACCTAACATTAGCGGTGCATAAGGCGTAGGGAAATGGAGCAGCTCACACATCACTTATATACTTATTTATATATCATCATCATTCATCATCAGCATATTAATGTCCCCACTGCTGGGGCACAGGCCTTCCCTATGGATGGAATAGGGAGATTGGGTCATGACCCATTAGTTATCGATAATCGGGTCTCAATAATAGTCTGCGCAGACGAGAAAAAAATATCCGCCTGAATCGTGAAAAAAATGCCCGCCGAGGACTTGTCACGGACTCAACGCACACCGTGAGCGAAAATTTTATTGAAACGCACGCTATAAAAAAAACATGTTCTAAGATTACGTTGTGTTGTACCTAATCAAAGTTGAGAAAAAGATAAGACTTAAAAAGAATGTTGTTTAACTGGCTTTAATCAAAATTTGAATTATATACTTTAATTGTATGCTATTTACATATATACAGGAACAATTAACCCAGAAACTAAAATCCTTAAAAAATATAATATAATAACTAAAATATATTATTAAAAGGAGTCCCTTTAGGCAAGGTTCCGAAGATACTGGCAGCGTTCCCCCTTTGAAAAGCTGAACTAATTCTTTGTTCGAGGTAGCTGCCAGCTCTTCGGTCTCCAGTGATGTCGACTAAATTAATAATTAAATTAATTATTAATTTATATAATTAATTATTTAACGTACCCCGTAAGAAAATTGAAATGGGCAATAAAAATTTGTTAAAAATTGCTTAACTACAAAACCGGTAATATTTTGCTTCACTAACGATGACTAGCTAATTTCCAGGAAATGTTTGTTTAACAGACTTAGCCTATTTTACATTACGCAGCGAAACAGCGCAAAGGTCATACGAACGAGATAAATGACAAAAAATATGTACTTGAAATGGAGGCTCCATTTCAAGTTGCACTGTGCATGCATTTCAACGTGTGGTGTCTTGCGGACTTTATAGAAAAACTATCTGTCCCAGCGAACTTTGTACCGCCATAAAAAAATAGGGGTTGGTGGTAGAAGGCTGAAATTTTAACGATGTATGTATTTTTGTATGATGTATCATAAAATAATAAAAAACAAAAAATTTTGTCCAAAAAAATCAAAAATTTAAGGGTGGACCCCTAACATTTAGGGGGATCAAAAATAAATGTTATCCGATTCTCAAACCTACTGAATATGCATATTCATTATTATTCGAATATATGCCGTTTCGGAGTAGTTCAATTACGCACACCGTGACGCGAGAATGTTATATATTAGATCTTTGTGAAACAGCAGTAACTGGAGTCGCATATTAGTTTAATAAAACGCCGTCAAAAAAATGAAAGACCATATACTGCTTTGCCATCCTTTAGCCATAAAAAGACAAGTGTTTGTTAAGTAGGGTTCCGTACCAAAGGATCTAAAGGAAACCGTAAAAATATTTGAAAACAAATTAATGAGAAGACACCAAAAGCATTTGCGCTAACCGTATTTGTCCCGCCAGATACTGGGCCGATTTGACATAATACTTATATGAAGTGAAATTTTATAAAAATCTAGCAGTGAAATTCCAAATACATACCTTAATATTGTTGAAATAAAATATTTAAAAATTGAAATAAAATAAATAAATAAAATATTAAAAAGGAGGAGCTCGATGGCGCAAGTGGTTAGTAGTAACTTAAACAACTTTAGCAGTGGTCGGTCATTGGATGGGTGACCAAAAATTACTATCTCGAGCTCCTCCGTGCTTCGGAAGGCACGTTAAGCCGTTGGTCCCGGCTGCATTTGCAATCGTAAGCACCCACCAATCCGCACTGGGCCCGCGTGGTGGTTCATGGCCCAATCTCCCTATTCCATCCATAGGGAAGGCCTGTGCCCCAGCAGTGGGGACATGAATAGGCTGAAGATGATGATTTAAAAATTTACGCTTTTGTTATTTAAATGTTTTAAGAATTAAAAGTAAATAATAAATTAAAATCAAAATTGTATAAACTCTTGTAGGTGAGAATAATATGTTTTGAACTTGAAAACTTTATCCGTTTTATTACAAAGTGTAGACTAAAGTTAAACCTGGACTAAAATTGATGTTGTCACTTTTGTTTGCTAAAAAGAAGACGGAGACATTAGTTTAAACCAAGACTAACTTTACTTCGCGTTTTGGAATAAGGCGACATAATTTCAACAAACTGAAAAGGTAGTGAAACCGAATAATACAAAAATATGAATAACAACAACCATTTTATTTAATTTAATTGCATACAATAAATATTGTCAAATAGCCCTCACAATTTATGTGTACAGTGTCCCACTTGTGAAATATTAAAAAAAAATCATATTAATAATTATACATCGAAAATTTTTATACTGCCCCTATATACAAATATACTACTTAATAACCATTCACAATTTACTATTTCTAATATGTACAGTACAGTCGTCGCAACATATTTGTCGTATCACTTCAGGGTCTTTGCTAACTAAGATTATGGCTTTATTCTATGGGCCAAGTATCTAATAGACACTTTGATTATACGAAGAATAGGAATACAACTTGGAAGTATGGCAATAAGATTTGTTTCAATGATAAACATAGACATCCTTAAGAAAAGTTTTACTAGAAAAAAATCCACGCGGTCCAGGCAGCGGACGGGACTCGAACCCGCACCCTTCGCAGTTCGCGGTTCGAGTCCCGTCCGCTGCATAGTCCGCGTGGATTTTTTTTCTAGTAAAACTTTTCTTTAGATTTAAATATGTAGCAGTTAAATGCTTAAAAAATAAAAACATAGACATCCTTAATAATATTGTTTTAAACTTTCATGGTCACTAACATTATAGATATTAACGGGATTGTTGCCATGTACCTTGTTTTTTATGAGTCTCCGATATTTCGGCACTGTTGCAAGCGCCATGATCACGGAGTCGGAGACTCATAAAAAACAAGGTACATGGTAACAATCCCGTTAATATCTATAATCCTTAATAATAAATGAAGAATAAGCTTGGATTCGTTTGTCCATATTTTGTCTCTGTTCATTGAATTAAAAATGACCTTGAATGACATAAACAAAACACGGCGAAAGTAGTCTAAATTAATTCCTCGTTTATTATTAAGCGGATGTAAGTGAAAAAGTATAACTGCGGTATCCTGTTAATGAAATTTAAATCTTATAAACATATACTTCAGTTATATTCGCATTCGGTGTATAAGTGGCATGGCATCCATGGCATCAGTGGCGCCTGCATAGAGGTATAACAATAGAGTGGGGAACGCTCTAAAAGTGTACGTGTAGTAAAAAGAGAAAGAAGATGAGAGACCGCTAGTTATCTCTCTCTTGTGACGCATGGCATCCAGTAGCATCACATCGAAATAGTAAAATGCTTACGGTTGCCAATGCGCATGCGCGATTAGAGAGAGAAAGTTAGCGGTCTCTCATCTTCTTTCTCTTTCTATTAGAGGGACACTTCCACTTGTAGTAGTCTATATCTCCCCTACTCTATTCTTATACCTCTATGAGCGTCTGACCAGAATTTTGTTTATTGACATTTACTGAGTTCACAGAGTAAGGGCGCTTTCACAAAAGGCGTCTTAGTCGCGCGACTGTAGGAATTCTATTCTAATGGCTAGTTTCAATAATCTACCTCCAGTAAGAGATAGGCTGATAAGGCAACAAATTCCTAGAAATGTTCAATATTTCGAATCATAATAACAACTGATGTTTAGAAACACATCTAGAATAATAATACCTACTAAAATTATTTGCCAATTCACACTGGGCTCGCGTTGTGGGTCATGGTCCTCCTTATTCCATCCATAAGGAAGGCCTGTGCCCCAGCAGTGGGGACATTAATAGGCTGGTGATGATGATGATGATGATAAAATTTATTTGATGAAACAACTTGTGACTTATTGTTCTTTCGTTAGTGATTCTCTATTTTTTTTTATTTAAGAGAGTTATTTACTAAATGAAGCACTCTTAAACGTGTACAAAATGTGTCTTATTATTATTAAAAAGACGGATTTTGAACCCTTTTCAAAAGCATGTTTCATTTAATGAGTGATGTGCTTAAGAAACCAATATATTTATTATTTATTCACTTGACATTGATTTTTTTTAAACTGGCCGTCAGTCAACTGGATATCCATTTAAACATATTTTAACTTAAGTACTCTGTAATGCGAAAGGTTTCCCCTTGCAACACTGCGTCGCGCACTGCAATCGCGCGACTTAAACGTATATAATGTAATTTCTCCCTTAAATGTTGACAATGAGGGTTATCTGGAATGACAGGTGGCACCTCTGGAGACAAAAGTTTTACTCCTCCGTCAAATCGTGTATGACGTCATAGTCTATGGATCAGTTTAAACGCTTGGTCGATTAGTTCGCGCTAAAAACTTCATACAAAAGACCTCATGTCACAATGGCGCCAAACAACACCCTCATTCGTCTGGCTCTATGGCGTTCGGTTGATCAAAAGAATAAAATTTACAAATCACATTTATATAACTGGTGTTTCTTCTAGGTCGAAATAAATAAGACCTGATCGATATGCATTCGTTTATATAATTAAATTATATTTAACTATCTGTCCTGAAACCTAATCCAGTAACGATATTAAAACAGTTATTTTCTATACGACCGCTGTTTATGCTAATTTTTCACACTTTATAGACCGGAAAAGGCATCAATGTTCGCAATTAAAATTAGACCTTAGCCTTACCCAAAACTTTAAATTGACCTAATAGGTTCACCTTAAAGTTAAAGTACACCATATATTTGTAGAAATCCACAATTTCAACCATCTTATTGCTTGTAAAATTTTAAAATCAAAATCCAACAAAACAGATTGTAATACTTTCTTAAATTATAATAAAAAAATTGGATACAACGTATATTTGTAGAAATCCACAATTTCAACCATCAAGGGCTTATTGCTCATAAAATTTTAAAATCTAAATCTAAACAAAACAGATTGTAATACTTTCCCAAAGTAGAATAAAAAAAACTGCTACACCGCATATTTGTAGAAATCCACAATTACAATCATCAATGGCTTATTGATTATAAATTTTTAAAAACTAAATCCAACAAAACAGATTGTAATACTTTCTCGAAGTAGAATAAAAAAAAACTTGCTACACCGCATATTTGTAGAAATCCACAATTTCAACCATCAAGGGCTTATCTACTATATAAAAATAAGTCGGGTTTTCCTTCCTGACGCTATAACTCCAGAACGCACGAACCGATTTCCACGGTTTTGCATTCGTTGGAAAGGTCTCGGGCTCCGTGAGGTTTATAGCAAAGAAAATTCAGGAAAAATTAAAAAAAAAATCTTCTTTAAATCACCAAACGAAATGTTACATAAAACGAAGCCATCTGGTGGCGAAACGGAGTTCGACGGGTTTGCTAGTCTACTATATAAAAATAAGTCGGGTCTTCCTTCCTGACGCTATAACTCCAGAATGCACGAACCGATTTCCACGGTTTTGCATTCGTTGGAAAGGTCTCGGGCTCCGTGAGGTTTATAGCAGAGAAAATTCAGGAAAAATTTCAAAAAAAAAATCTTCTTTTAATCACCAAACGAAATGTTACATAAAACGAAGCCATCTGATGGCGAAACGGAGTTCGCCTGGTTTGCTAGTTGCTTGTAAAATTTTAAAATCAAAATCCAACAAAACAGATTGTAATACTTTCTCGAAGTAGATTAAAAAAAAGTTATAAGTATATTGTTATTTGAGTTTTCCAGCTTTTTAGCACCCATAGTGTCAATAAATAAATAATTTGTTCGATAGATAATAAATACCATGTAACAATAGTAAAATTAAAATTAACTAACAACAGTATTGGAAAACACATTGATCCCGCTTTGGTTAAATTCTTCTATAAGAATGTATCAAGGGCTCCCATGCACTGCCAACAATCAGTAAATCACAAACAACCAAACACTCAAGTATTTAAATTCAAAACTCGCATTAACATTTTTTATAGCGCGGTCGAATCATCCTGATGAATAACTGACGCATTTATTACAACACAACAAAGTTGAAATTTGCTAAATCCTTATACATTTGTAATTTGAACGCGCTTGTTAAAGTTAAAAAAAAAAGAAATAAAGTATTTCACTAAAAACTGCCAGCAACATTCAAATCTAGAACTTTTTGAGTATATGGCCACAAATAGAACCCATAAAAAAGAAATACATTCCAAAAAAAAAAGTTAAAACTCATTTCACGCAACTCACGCACGCACTCTTTGCACGAGAGCCCCAAACTCTTAAACGGAATTGTGTATCTCTCTGTTATTTTCCCTCGATTTCGAGGCGAATGTTTGATGTGTGATCAGTTCCCTGAAGAACCCATCCTGTTTGGCCATCAGTTCGTTGTAAGTACCCGTCTCTATGACTACTCCGTTCTCTAGTACCGCCACTTCGTCGGCCGATTGTATCGTGCTTAGTCTATGGGCTATTGTGAGCACGGTGCGGTCTTTACTGATCTCTTTGAGAGCTTTATCGACTAAATATTCGGAATACGCGTCCAGCGCTGAGGTAGCTTCGTCCAGTATCAAGATTTTTGGGTTCTGTAACAATTTTTACCTTTATCAAATATTTCCAACACTGACACCAATTAGCCTAACCCCAAAGTAAGCACTGTAAGGCTTGTGTTATGGGATATTAGGGTAACGGATAGAATACATATACTGTACATATATAAGTATATTTATAAAGAAATACATATTAAACATCCATGACTGGAGTACAAATGCTAGTATTCATCACACAAATATCAGCTCCCACTGGGATTCGAACCTGGGACCTCTCGAGTCGGCGACACCATGAAACCCGGCGTACAAACCACTCAGCAGCTTAGAAAAGGCTAGAGAAAATATAATAATGTTAGTTACGTTAGTTCATCTCCGTATACCTTGACGATGGCACGCGCTATGGCAACCCTCTGCTTCTGGCCTCCACTCAGTTGACCTCCCCTGGCGCCCACGTTTCGGTGCCATCCTTCCTTGCTGCCCACCACCATGTCGTGGAGATGGGCCGTACGAGCTGCTTTTAGCCACGCCGGTTCTTTCTAACAAATAACAATTGAAATAATGTTTTTGCTTTTAGGAAATCAAACGTTTCAATACATTTGCTCAAAAGGTTCATTCACGGAGGTTATATACATTGTTCGAAAGTTCAAAATTACGGGCCATACAACGAAGCGTGCGGTAAAACGTTTTATATCACATTTGCTCGTAAAGCGTCTCTTATTGCACCAATTTCAATATCATAATCTATCACAGTACACACGCGTGCGGTAACGTAAAGTAAAACGCACTGCTTATTATGTTCCGGCTAAAAACGAACGATACTTTTTTAAATCAAAGCAAAGAGTTTTTATGTCAGAAAGGTAGCGAACATTTTCTTAATAAAATTAACTTTGGCAGATAAAATATAATATATGAACATTTAATTCTTTAATTTGATTCATTTTGACAATAAATTACAACCATGTATCAATAACAAATTCACAAAAATATTAATTTACTTTATTAGTAAGTAACACTGGCTGTTTTTTTGTTCCGTTGCCTACAAAAAGGGTTGATGCGCGCGCATCGCTAATTTGTGAAAAAGTTATTATTTTTTCTTTTCGCTGTATTGATTTTATTTGAAAATATTGTCAAGTAGAGTCTGTGCGGAAAGAGAATGGGTGTGGCGAAAAACGGAACTAACATTAAGATTTTTATTTGGCAATCAAACCCAGCAACCTGTAAAACGTCAAAGTGTTGTATTGATACGGATTTGTTTGTTGTTGTGATTTCTTGCGGTTTTTTGCATTTAATCATGCCTAAAAGGGGTAAAACGATAGAAAAGCACTACAGCGCCCTCCAATCTAATACCCATTCTCTTTCCACACATACTCTAGTAACGAATTTATTAATTTGACACCGCCAGAAGTTGAAAAAGGCTACGCTAAGCCTCTTGCCCGCAAAATCCACGGATAGATACTTTTTTTTTTTTTTTTTTTTTAATGGCACGACACGATTTGTGCATTGCCAGTGTCAAAGGTAGGGAAACATTAGTAGGAAATTTATGCATTTTGGATCGGAATTTAGAGGATAGGATCAGGAGACAGAATTGGTATATTTATATAAATATACATACATAAAATACGAATAGAGATGATTACACTCTAATATTATTTAACATTATGAAAGATGCTATACATTTATAAATCTGTAAATTATTAGAGAAGAGTAGGGTTATTACGGATGTTGGAAAAGGAACATCTAAAGAAATGAGGCCATTTAAAAAAATATATCGATTGTATAGAGGGCAGGAAAACAGGATGTGGTTAAGATCCCCTGTGTCCATTCCGCACCCGCAAGCAGGATCGCTGACAATTCCAAGCTTAGAGAGATGTGCTGGTGTAGTAACATGTCCAAGTCTCATGCGCGTTAATATGCTAGTAGCAGTCTTACCAAGTTTAGCTTTACGAAACCATGGCTTTAAAGGAATAGTAGGTTGTATTGTAAAATAGTATTTTCCTTTTATTTGTGCACTACTTGTCCAACTTGTAAGCCATTCACTTCGCAAATCGCACAATGGTAGAGATAGCAAGTCCTGGCTATAACATTTATAAGAAACCACGTCACCACAATGCACTGCCTCTTTGGCTAACTGGTCGGATTTTTCATTTCCTTGAATTCCACTGTGACTCGGGAGCCATGCAAACTCTACCATGTATCCCATTTTCATGAATTTATTTAGAAAATTCCTTATCTCAAATATTACAGGAAAATATGATTTAGTACGGAAAGGGAATTTATTTAGGGCTTGAAGAGCACTCATTGAATCGGAAAATATTACAGTTTTTCGCAGTTTCATAACAAAGATATATTCAACAGCCTTTAATAAACCAATACATTCTCCGGTAAAAACAGATGTCTCCGGAGGAAGTTTAGTTTTTTGGACAATAGAAAACTGAGAGTGGAATACTCCTACACCTGTACACTCAGACGGAGAGGACTTAGAAGCATCAGTGAATATATGATGAAAGTCGTCATATTCAGTATCTATAATTGATTTGAAGGTTATACTTGGGTGTGCATGGTTTTTATCAATTAAATCATATTGAATAGTTGGTGCTATTTCTAAGGCATCATAATCAATAGTAAAAATGGGAAGATGGTTTGATCGGTGTATAGGTGATTGTATACTTATATACTTTCGATAACTAACTATCAAACATGGGAGAGATTTATGTGCCCAGTAACTTGCTGATGTTATTTCTTCATTCAAAGAACAAAGTAGATTTATAAGAGGATGGTTGGAAAATTGAAGTAAACGGAATAGATATCTGTCAGCAAGAAGTTGTCGTCTAATGTTAAGTGGGGGTTCACAAGTTTCAATTTGCAATGCATTAATTGGGCTGGATCTCATAGCACCAGTTATTATTCGTAACGCTTTCGACTGAACGTTATCTAGCTTTTTCAGTGCAGTAGAATTGGCAGGTTCTAGGAGAAAACTTCCGTAGTCCAGTACACTTCGGATTAATGCATTATACACTAGTTTTAAGGATTGCGGATGGGCCCCCCACCAAACTCCTGAAAGACATCGGAGAAGATTTAAAAGTCGTTCAGTTTTACTTATAATAAAATCACAATGTGCACTACCGGTAAGTTTGGAATCCAACACGACTCCCAGAAATTTTACTTGGGGTTCAATGGGAATTAATATATTATTATAATAAATTCTAACGGGAGGGGGATTCTTCTTTCGTGAGAATATTACAATAGTACTCTTTGAAGCAGATAATTCTAGACCGTTATCGTTCATCCAAGAACTCAAAGAACGTAAAGCTGAGTTAATATGCAAAGAAGAATTATCTATGTGACGGTTTGTAGAATAAATCAATAGATCATCAGCGTATTGCAACAACTTAATATTATTTTCAAATAAAGTGTCAAAATCGTGAGTATATACACTGTAAAGTAAAGGACTAAGAACTGATCCCTGGGGCAAGCCTCTCCATACAGTTCTTTGTATTTCAAGACTATTCGGTAAGCTAATTATTAATTTTCGTTCGGCTAGTATATTCATAATAAAATTTGTTAACATTTGAGGAACCTCTAGTATCTCTAGTTTACTTTTCAAAACTGATAATAATACGTGATCATATGCAGAATTTATATCCAAAAATGCTGCTACTACGGATTCGTTATATGTGAAAGCCAGACGAATGTCAGTTGATAAAATACTTAAATTGTCCATTGTACTTTTTCCTTTTCTGAATCCGTATTGTGTTTTGGATAGCATGCCTCTGCTTTCTAAATACCATTCAAGGCGATTTTTTATCAAAAGTTCAGCTAGTTTGATTAAAACAGTTGCTAAAACTATTGGACGGTATGAAGATGCATGTGATGGTGGTTTATTAGGTTTGAGTATGGGCAACACTATTTGTGACTTCCATGACAGAGGTATGTCACCTGTTATCATGATAGTGTTGATAAGTTGCAAGTAATAGGTTAAGATGTTATCACTAACATTTGCGAAAAACGAATACGGAATTCCGTCTGCCCCAGGGGCAGAATCTTTATAGTCGAAAACAGCACTCTTAAGTTCTTGAAGGGAGAAAGGACGATTCAATCCAGAGCTACTACTCAATTGTAAAACCTGTGAAGTGTTGAGCATGGGAATGGGAGTCCACGGTGGGGCCAATTTGTCCATATAATCGTTAACTATTGCAGGAGGCATAGTGACAGGAGAGGAAGTATTATAGGCGGATTTAAATCTTTTTATGTTACGCCAGACCAGGGTAGCGGGCGTGTCTGGTGAAATAGAACTGCAAAAATTTCTCCAGCTTTCGAATTTTTTCTTTTTAAATATTTTTTTAGTTTCTGCAACTACTTTACTTAAGTTATCATAGTTAAATTCTGTCATATTAGTATTGTACATGATTTCTGCCTGCTTTCTCTTCCTCACAGCCTCAGAGCAATCCTTGTCCCACCAAGGAGGAGATGGTATGTTCATGTGGATGTTATTTTTAATAGGAAACAATTCTATGGCAGCTTCATTTAAAATACTAGCTAATGCCTCTGCACAACTGTTTTCATTACCGGGAGTGATAATAGGGAGAGATGATAATTTATTTTCAACAGAAGATTTGTACTTATTCCAGTCATTAGATTTTTTATCTGGTAAATTATATCTTCTTGTGGTTTTCCATCTAAAGTTATGAGGCTTTTTAAAGGGTAAAGATATAATAATAGGAAAATGGTCACTTCCATATGCAGAAGGAAGAGTATGCCAAGATAAGGAAGAAGCTAGATTTGTAGTACAGATTGATAAGTCCACAGCACTTGCATTAAGGTTAGGACTGGTGAGGCGAGTGGGGGAACCTGTATTCAAAAAGCATAAGTTATGTGATTCCATTATATCTAACAAATTTTCACCATAATTGTTAGTAACTGTACATCCCCATGCTTGATGGTGACAGTTAAAATCTCCTAGTACTAGAAAGGGTTTAGGGAGAGATGAAAACATGTTATTTATTTCATTAAAAATTGGAGATGATGGGCGAGATAAATAAATAGATACTAAACATATGTTATGAACTTTCACTGCAATCATTGAAATTTCTTCACTATGTCTTATTAAGGTAATGGGTTCATAAATAACACCATTTTTAATTAGAATGGCTACTCCACCATAGCCATCCATTCTATCTTCTCTAATAGTATGATAACCATTAATTTTAAAATTTCTTTGAGATGTAAGCCATGTTTCAGACAAGGCTAAAACAGAAGGCTCTAATTTATTTATTAAATGAATAATTTCATTTTTTTTGCTTAGGGCACTACGGCAGTTCCACTGTATTATCTTGTCTGTTTGTCTGTCCATTGATGAATTGAATGTTATTTTTAGTAATCTGAGCAGCGTTGGACGGTGGAAGGATATTGAATTGAGTAAACACATTGAAGAGAGCATTAATAAAATCAGGAGGGAGTTAATTCACTGAGGATGTTCTGTCATCACTTGTACTAAGACCACAGCCATTGTTAGGGGTAGGAATTGCAAATTCCTTCAATATAGTATTATGGGCTATGGTATCATAGCCTTTTGAAAATGCAGGCATATTACGCGGTTTCTTAAAAATAGTTTTTTTATAAGATGTTGTGTGGTTTATGTTACTATTAGATAAATTACTAATCATAGGTTCATTTACTATTTTTGTGGAAGGGGTCATTAAAGTATCAGCATAGGACCTAGATATGGGTGGAAGTAATTTTGATGCTTCTGCGTATGATACACAGTTTTGTGCCATGTATAATTTTATTTGGGATTGCCTAACATATTCCGGACAGGATTTATTATTGGCGTAGTGATGCCCATCACACCAGCAGCAGAGCGCATCTTCCTCTGTGATATTGCATGAGTCACCTGTATGATTTTGACCACATTTAAAACATCTAGGTTTAGATCTACATTGAACTTTAGTATGTCCGAAACGGCAGCAGTGATAACATTGGATTGTAGGAAATATATACAGATCCACATTGAGTGCATTGTAGCACATGAAAATTCGTTTTGGTAAAATTTGGCCATCAAAGGTTAAAACTATAGTTTGGGATGGCTTCCAGGTAGGAGTTCCATCTACAAAGGATTTATAATTTAGTCTCCTTACTTTCAGAATTTCACCACAACCTATGGGAACAGAAATATTACTTTTAACTTCCTCCAGAGACCACTCTGCAGGGACACCTCTAACTAAACCCATTCGTGTAATGTTAAATGTTGGAATATATGCTTTTAAATTATTTTTTGACCAACTACTATGATTGATGAAATTATTTGCATCAGTAAATTTTGAGAACGAAACTTGCATTTTATTTCGCCCAATCTTTTTTACACTTCCATTAATTATATTGTAAAAAGAGTTTTGTTTGAGAAATTTACCAAACGACATGGGATGCATTGTGATTCCGTCTGATGATGAATCTTGCTCTCTCTGTACATGCACTACAAAAGGTGAAGCATCGGTTTTGTCATAAAACTTCCTACCTATAGGAATCAGTACTGGGGAGGGTATGGACACAGGAGAAGTTTTAGAGTCATTGACACTCAGGCTATTTGATTCTTGTTGGACTGGCGTTGCGGTGGATTCATAGCAACTGCAATCTGTAACTTTAGGTTCTGACGAGGAATGTTTGCGCCTTTTTTTGTTGCAATGTTTGCAAACATGGAGCCGGCTCCGTTTTAATGTGCGACTGGACATGGAACCATCTGTTTCCATACCAGATTCATTATTTGAAGTAATGGTAACAAAATTACTAGCCGGGGGGACACATCCCCCCGGCTCCGGGGGGACGTTCATACAACTATACGATAATAATCAAATTTTGACTTACCAAGGCAGCAGGGACAATAAATAAAGAAATACACTAAATATATATACAATATTAATAAACAAACCTATCCGCTGATCACTATTTTAACTTCTATTAAGTAAATATTTTCAGATGCCAAAAGAACGCGTCCGCCAAGTTGGAAGTTTCCCGCGCTTTTTTCTCGGATAGATACTTACAGTCAAGCGTATCAAAATTCCATCTTACGGAAAACAAACAAAGGTGCAAATTCATTTTCAGAAACCTAGGTACCTAGGTAGTATTATTTCCTCGCAAATGTGTTATAAAACGTCGTATGACATACGTGCGGTTTGATAATTACAGCCGCTGCCTTCTTATATGTATACAATAAGAAGCCAACAATATCGCCCCGGCCATAATTCTCAATTTACCGCACTTATATCATAATGTACTAATACCATACGTTCCCCATACATGGCGCCGTGCGTATCCTTTACGTTTTTTGAAGTTAAAACTTCTTTAGCACCGTTGTGATTTGAAATTCGATGAAACGAATATCTTACAGTATTTGACACAAGGTATCCGTAATTTTGTAACTCTCTGCAAGAGACAGATAGCCGAACGGTAACGGTCTTGAGATCGACACGAAATGATCGGTGGTTCCATCCTGAGCTCGGTTATTTTTTAATTTTATTAAGTTATTATTTATTTTTAACTGTTTTTTTTCTTTTATTAAGCTATTATTTATTTTTCGAATTTATTTAAGTATAGAATATTAAATTTTGCCCAGTATTTTACAGTACCTAGTCATGAAGGACTTTTACGTGTTCATATTTTTGTAGTTTCAGTTCTATCGTATGAGAATAGGACATGCACGTTTTTTATTTAATTTCGGTAGAACTTCCTGGGAACCGCTTTATATACACTTAAAAGAAAAGGACACGAAAGATGTAGTTCTAATTTTCACCACAAGCACGTGGCGCCTCTTGGAAATACGCGCCATTTTTATGAGAAAAAGTTTGCTGCATTACTTAAATTAGGTATATAATAGATAGAGTTTTCTCGGAAATGAATTGAAAAACGTTGTATGACTTTCGTGCGAAATTGATATTTACAAACTCGTGACATCCGTCTACTCGTTTGTAAGAAAATAACCAACTTACCGCACTCATCTCTTATCTATTAGACAAGTCCGTCCGTCCGTCCGTCTGTGGTGCTGTTTCAGCGGCCAAACCGTAAGAGATAGATAAAGAGAATGTTTAAGTTATAAGTTAAGAATAGTCTGATAAGACTACAAACCGGATTTGAGTAACGTAGCACTTCCGGTTTTCGAGAAATCACGAATTTCAAACGAAACCACACAAAATCTCCGAAGTTCTCAATTAATTAAATACATTTTTTTTTAAATCAGGTTTTGGTGAACATTTGGTTCACTGGTTTGCTAGTATAATATATAGCTATAAAGGTAATAAATTATTCTGCGACAAACGACAACTAAACAAATCTATCAGAAGATGATTAATTAGTTATGCGATATTAAACATTATAACGAATAGAATATCTAAGGGAATACTAGTCGTGCTGCAACTCCAGTTACTGGAGCGCCAATCTGTGTATTCTGCTTCCCGTAACATCGCTTAACTTGATTTCCCAGCAAATTGTACAAAAAGTCTATCCTGTTCCAGCGCCCCACGCTTTAACAATCAAATATTAAAAGCACATAGTTTACACTTCAGCCCAGACATAGAGACAATTTGAACGATCCATAATAATTTATTTTTGGTTTTTACGTGCAATTATAAAAGCGTGATTTTCTAGTTTTTTTTTAAACTTTAATTTACTTTATTATTTTTAGTCTTTGGTAACGAAATATTGGTGTCGATGACTGGCGTGATTCTCTAAACTTAAAACTAAATTTAAGATCAATCTCTCCTTTTCATTCTGTATAGAGAACGACAAGGATGCACTGTTGTGAAATTTAAGTTTAGCTTTAGAGAATCATGCCAGAATAGACATAATTGTTAACATTATCACTGAGTTTTAAGGCTTTTTGTTCGCGCTTTTCCTTTTTACAAGCTTTTATTTAACTTGCTATGTATGTTTGTTACGGTCAAATCTTACAACTCAATTTTAAAGCACTTGCCCTCAACCGATTAAGCTGAAATTTGGTATGCTCGTTCAATTCGGATGACAATGCATGATTAACAGAGTGACGTCATTCTAAATCCAATATGGCGGCAATACCCAAAATGGCGGACCAATCATTTTTAATGCATTCCTACAATATGGGTATCAAATTAAAGGGCTTGCTGAGAGTAACTCGAAAAAAATGTGACGTCACTCTCAATCCAATATGGCGGACTTCTAAAATTTGAAAATCTATTTAAAAACAGATATCTTTAACTAATTTAGTTGAAATTTTCTTTTTTTCTTTTTAGCGCATTTGAATAAAAGCTTGTTTTTAAAAAGGTTTTTTTTACCTTAATTTTATTATATTACAAAAGGGAGCCGTACGCGCTTTTTACAAATTAAAACCGCGTGATTCACTGAGAGAATTATTTTAACATACAAAATGACTCTGGAGACTATAGAACTTGACACAATAAATATATGAAAATAAAGTGCTTATACTTTATGATAGAAGAACAAATTTGACATATTTCGGGCAGTAGTGCCCACAAGTGTTAATAACTGGATAATTCATTATTAATGAATGAATGAATGCTACTGTATAATATTTCTCAATATGACAGCATCTATCACTTCACATCACATGTATATCATTGCAATGGTTAATAATACTGACAAACGTAATGTGCGACAATGTAATTGATTTATGTATTCTATCACAATTAATAAATAAATAAACTGTAACAAGGTAATGTCACGCATGTTTTGAATTTAATGTAAACACTGTTGATTTATCACATTAGTATTATAAAGGCGAAAGTTTGTGTGTGTGAGTGTGTATGTTTGTTACTTCTTCACGTCCAAACGGCTGGAGCGATTTTAATAAAATTTGATATGGAGTTCGCTGACACCCTATATAAAATATTCCTAATAAACCGCGGGTAACACCGCGAGGCACAGCTAGTACAATATACATACAAATTATTCCGCATAATTTTTACCTTTTCGTCGTCATTTTCGATCTCGTAGCCATCGGGTGCGCCATACAAAATATTTTCCTTTATTGATCCGTTAAATAAAACAGGTTCCTGCAATATATGATGAAAAATCGATTTAAAATAACAAGTAATTGATAATAATAGTCTTTACGAATATTAAATAATATGTATGGTAACGATTTTGGTAAACAATATAGAACATAAATTGAACTTTGAAGAAAAGGACTACATCAAGTCGCATAAATAACAGTTGAAGGGGGTAACATTGCAATAAAAAAAACTTGGGAAACAATTTACTGTAGATTATTAATTGTTACATTTTAGCGGCAAAACATAAGATCCGATTTTGAAGAATTTCGGTAAAAAGATAAAATAGACCTTAGAGAAGAACATATAGGCTACTTTATGGCAAGAAAAAGCAAACTTTTAGGATCTAAAGCATCTTGAGGGATGTAAAATGGAGGTACAAAAGATTGTATTTCATGCAATGCCGCGCAGCGGGCCTAGCAGATACCACGAAAAATAACCAGACACCAACCTGACTAACGAATCCAATGTGACTTCTCAGCCACATGGGGTCCAATTCCCTTATGTCCACACCGTCCAACATGATCCTTCCTTTATCCGGGTCGTACAGACGCAGTATAAGGGAGGCTATCGTACTCTTCCCACACCCTGATCGACCAACCAATGCTACAGACTTGCCGGGTAAAAGGTGTAAACTTAACCCCTTTATTAAGGGTGATCCTCCATAGCAATACCACACGTTGTCCAAGATTATTTCGCCTCTAGGTCTCTCTATGGGTCTTAGGCCACCTAAAAGCCATTATAATATTATATATGTGAAAATGTCTGTGTCCGCCTGCCTGTCACTTTCACACTGAAACCGTTGAACCGATTTAGATAAAATTTGGTATAGAAATAGTTGAAGTCCCGGGAAAAGGCATTTACATTATCTAGATAGTTTTTGTCCCATAAATCATGTTTAAAAGAAATTTCTTCTCCAAATGAAGTATGGTATAGTATATCAATGCCAAATGATTGCGTTTGTTGATAAGTATTATAATAACATAGTGACAAGCCAACGTACGTATGTGCCAAGTGGATATTTTGATTACTGTACAAGATTGACATCCGCATAGGAGGAATTCAAGCTTGATAATAGTATTTTTTTGGAGGAGCTTGATGGCGCGGGTGGATAGCGCGTTCGGCTGCGATCGTTGAAGTTAAGTAATTTTCGCAGTGGTCGGTCATTGGATGGGTGACCAAAAATCTTCACGCACATCACATCATCACGAAAAAAATGACATATGTCTCAATAAGAGTGATAACCTGCTTTATTGAGACATGACATTTTTTATACCGAAAAAATGTTAGGTTCCTCTGTGGGATTATCAAAAAACCAACGTAAATGCAGGCGAAGTCGCGGGCAGTTGCTATTACCTATATAAATACAGTTCATCTGATGTTCTTGTTTATGAGACGTGTAGTATTGGTCAGGGCTAACAGCATCAACTTTATTCTTAATCTTAAAAATAGTCTCAACGAATATATGTTTTTCAAATTATTTCTAGATATAAAATTAACTAGTTTCCAAGTACAGGCAGTCCTCGTACTTACGGCATGTTAGGTTCTAGAAATACGCGACGTGAATCGAAACGACGTAAGTCGAGACATCCCCACGGACGCCGGCCACATGGACGTTTACCCCGCGAAAAGTGAATTCTCCTATGCCGGAAATCGATACAATTGACGTATGCTTGAGGAATAGTGTCAAAACATCAACTTAACTTGAAACGACGTAAATCGAAACACCGAAAGTCGAGGACTGCCTGTATAATAATGATCTAACCTGAAACCGGTATACTAGGCTCCCTGTCTATGATCTGCCACAGTCTAGTAGCTGCACCGACCCCCTTATTCAGCTGAGTGTAGAAGTTGCTCAGACCCCCGATACTGATGCCGACATATGCGGCGTACAACAGGAACGAAGTCAGATTGCCAACGGACAACTGTTCCGTGGCCACCATACCGCCCCCGTAGTATAACACCAATATTATGATTATGTTCCCCGAAAGACCGGTCTGTGAAAACCAAGGTAAAGTTGAATTTGATGTTCTTTGTAAGCAGTATACAGCAAAAATTCAATTCAAATTGTGTCATTTTTTTTGTAGAAACTTCCTTATTTATAAAAAAAAAATTTCAAAAATATATAAAACCTTCATTGCTCTTCAATAATACATGTTTTGAGTAACATAACAGTAGCTTTGTTTGCTAGAAAAATATAAAAGGCTGTTAAAAACTTTACGTGTAAGTAGGTACTACTTATAGGTCTCACCATTCCATAAAAACTTCCAACAGCCAATGATTCTTGGTATGCAAGCTTTAGCAAATCTTCTATTTTCCTCCCATAAGCTTCACATTCTTGCTTTTCCCTACTGAATGCTTTTACAGTCTTTATGTTTGAAATTTTTTCTTCAGCCAACTATAAATAAGGATATAGCATTTTAAATAGTACACAAACATATATTATTCACTTCAAAATTGTTTATTCGGTCAACCTAAGTCAACATTCGAAACCTGATGTAGGTATCTGATATTATATTGTCACAAACGCTCTGTAACCAAAACCATGAACATACTGGAAAAAATCTTTTCCAGCATGCCGTGGCTCGTGACATGAATGACCTCAATAAAGGCAGTGTGGTGCGGTTTATTCTGCAGCGAGTGCGGGGTAGCGCCAACAGCCTCTTGAAGGCGGTCGTGGCGAGACTGGGCGCGGACAGTGCTATTATGCAGCACTGGACTCGCGTCCATCTCGTCAAAGACACAAAAATAAATTATAATTATTTTAATATTTATTAATTAATTATTTAATTTAAATTTGAATTGTACTAACATAGTTTTAAGCTTCCATTGTTACTAACACTATATGGACTCTGGTTCGAAATAAACATATTTTATTTTTATTTTTTATTTTTTTATTCAAATATTAGCCTTAGCAGTGCGGCGTAAGGGTAAAAGTGCAATGACATCTGCCTATTTTTTTACATCTCATGTATGCTATCTACGTATTACGTACTCGCGGGTGCTATGTGTGTCGACATATGCGTCGATTGACGTGTGCTAGGGCGTCCAGTGCCAGTGTGTGTTTAAGAAAGAACTGTCAAGCGTAAACTGGTATATAAATCCATATTTTATTACATAACAGTTTCCACAATTGTTATTGGGATGTGAAATGGTTATGAGGCGGCGAAATGTCACCACCACAGTTATGTCGAGAATACTTTTATTAGATTAGACTTTTCTGCCATTAGCACTGCACTGATACCATTACACAAATACAATATATGTAGAAAATGCAGATTCATAGTACTTCCAGCATACTGTAAATTACCTCACTTGTTTCAGCCAATGTATCCTGCAACTGTCGTGTTATACCTCGAACAAAGCGTCCATATGCAACAGCTAGCATGGACACGGGGGGAACCACACACAGGCCAATTAAAGCTAGTGATGGTGACATGTAGAACTGAAAAAAAAAACATTTCATTATGACAACTAGTTTTTATTGAGTTATAAATATTTGACTTGACCACAAAATAAGTTGTGAGCATATGTATGTGTATGCACTATTATGCAACAGAAGAACTGCAAGTTTTTTTTGGATGAAAGTGTCTTGCAGTTTTCTGCTCAAATGACGGTATAGCTTTAAACACCTACACTTGTGTTATTTAAGTTTTGCTTTATATACTAAATCAAATCCTGTGGTTTATTTCTCCAAAATATACTTATTGGAATTTTAGGTTATCACAAAGTAGTTAACAGGAATATATATTATGCCCTTCTTTAACATTTGAATATGTGTAAAACTGATTGAAGCTAACCCACAAAATAAAGATCCCTGTTATATGAAATAAATATTGTTACCATCATTCCAGTCCCAGCTCCCACCATAAAGAGTGATCGCAGACCATCACTAACATTTTCACTCAAATTTCTGCCAACAAGCTGTGTGTCTGCTGACAGTCGGTTCACAAGTTCACCGGTGGATGTCTTGCTGAACCAAGCTGGTTCTTGTCTCATTATGGCACTGTACACTTGTTTACGTAGTGCTTGTGTCATTCTTTGACCTACAATAATGTAAACAAGATACAATGTATGGATACATATCTAGCAAATGACACTGTAAAATTAAGTAAATAATAAAATATAATTGTCATAACATACTTCAATTAATAAAAAGAAACATACAAAGTTTCTTACCAGAGATAGACATTAAATAAACTCTCCCAAAGTTACATAGACCTCCTACTAAAAATACTCCACAGAGCATAAGACACAGGGTGTCCAGCTTCTCTCTAGCTGCTCCAAGATCGCTTGTACTACTGTATATTATGTCCAATACCTTGCCGAGGGAAAAAGGCACTGCCATTGTAACACTTGATGATACTACTAAAAAACTTATAGCACCTGCAAGTTTATAAAATAGATAAATCATACAGCTGTGTGATAAAACAATGTTTGAATTATGACAAATGTGTGTACCGGCCAGGGTCCATTTTTCAGGTTCAGCTAAAGTAAACAACCTTTTCAATTCCGATGTCTTTAATTTTACATTAATTTTCTTGGTAGGTTTTAAACTAGATTCGTTCACACAATCTGTCGGTTCACTCTTTTTGTCAGCATCTACTTGACTGCTGAAATACCGTGGTTTAATCCAAAGTATTCTTGTCTTATTGAAGGAAGACTTTTCGTAATATTTCACGTCCTTGTGACTAGAAAGTAATCTAAACTTGCAATGATTACATGACTGACTTTTAATTGGAATTCTCAACAGTAAGTTTGTATGCCTACTAGATATTATAAGATCTAAGCGAACTTGAAGCAAGCGCTGTAACATTTTCGGTAGATTTTTAATTTAATCACAAAATTAAACTACATTCAACATATTTTTGTATCAAAATATTGACTTTGACAGCATTTGACAGTCTAATCACTTAGACAGATGTCAATGTCATGCATGTTATTTGAAATTGTCACAGCGTTTCAAGGTACGCACAGATTACTACGCTTCAAGCTGCATGGATATCTCATGTATACTAATGTTATAGATGAGAGGAAAATTTGATTGTTTGTTTGTTTGTATTGAATAGGCTCCGAAACAACTGGACCGATTCGAATAATACTTTTATATTTAGAATCCTTCATTATCCGTGATGAACATAGGCTATAAAGTATATTCAAAAAAGTTAGGGTTATACAAAAATATTTTTTCAAATCGGAACAGCAGAGCAATTGTGCATTCGGTACAACGCACGGGCACGCACCTAAACTACGCAACATTTTTTTACTTGGAACTACAGGCGTTTTTTTATTTCGGTTGTGGAAGCCCCGCTTATTCCTCTAGGACCTTAGATAAAGAATCGCTTCCATTCTTCATTTCAGTCTGAGCCACAGCCCCGCCCTAAATCCTGGTCTGTTTATTATCTCCTCACGATGAAACCAATTTAGATGAAATTTGGTATAACGATAGTTCTATGAGAGCCCGTTGGATAGTTATTATCCCAGAAATCATCCTTTATGAGGGCTGGATTTTTGTATGGAAAACCAATTTTATACACACATCAAAAGTGTCTAGGGATCAACATATATTTTTGCAATAACTTTTCTCCTGATTGATATTAATTAAAATTTTCTTTAAGGATTCATCAAATAAAGTGTTTTCGTTTGTCACAGTAACGATAAACCAAGTCACCTTTGCATTAATAAAGAAATTTGCCATTTTCCTAATAAAGGGATTTTTGACATTTGAACCACTAACACAAAAGTTCGAAAAAAAGACTGAAATAACAGTTTTCTCTAAAATTTTATTGGGTAACTTAAACAATTAATAATCCGTATTTCTACCGCGAACACTAACAACACAAGAACATCGGTTTGGCATACTCAAAATGAGTTCATCCAAATCACGCTGTGGAATGGCCGCCCATGTTCGTTGCAACAACAAAAAAAGGTCTTCTTGCGACTGGATACCCTCCATATTCGGCAGAGCTCTTCTCTGTAGCATATCCCATGCATGCTCAATCGGGTTCAAGTCTGGCGACTGAGCAGGCCAGGGCAGGACATTGATGTTAGCTGCGGCGAGAGTCTGTCTTACAACTCTTGCGGTGTGCGGTCGTGCATTATCATGCATTAACTGAAATAAGGGACCGATTTGCACTTGTAGAGGAACGATGACGTCTGATACAATCGTCTCAGCATAAATTTGAGCGTTGAGGTTGCCTCTGATCCAAATCAACTCAGTTCTTCCGCCGATCCAAATACCCGCCCATACCATGATGGTTCCACCACTATAAGGATGGACTTCCTGGCAGGATTTTAATCGCTGTTGGCGTCCAGGGGTTCTCCAGTGTCGTATACGTCTTGTATCCGGTCTCATACCAAAACGAGACTCATCAGAAAAGCACACGAAACGCCATTGTTCTTCTGCCCAATTTCTGTGTTCAAGAGCCCATTGATATCGAATCCTACGATTGTGCATTGCTATAGGTGGTACCCGTAGCGGTCTTCGGGAATGAAGGTTCACTTCATGCAAGCGGTTTCTGACTGTTTGGTCGCTAATTAAGTTCCCTGAAGAGTGATGAAGCCTCACGGCTAACATCATGGCGGTTATTGTTGGAGCTCTTCGAGTTAAGATTTGAATGTATCGGTCTTGTCTCCGTGTGGTGCAGCGATACCGTCCTCCATGGCGCTCAGCCACGGTACCAGTGCTTCGGTATCGTGTCCAAAGTCGACTGATAACACTCTGACTTGTATTCAGAGCTAAAGCCACAGTACGTTGCCGGGAACCAGCTTCTATCATTCCCACGGCTCTGTGCATTTCTTCCCTGCTTAAATGACGTCGCCGCTCCATAATAACGTTGGTTTTAATCAGTAGTAGGGAAACAGTAGCACTAATAATGTCTTCAATGCGTTGTATGTTTTTATAGGGAAAATATTGACAGCTGATTTTCATCTTTTACTCGAATTTGATTCACAGTTCCTGATTCAAATTATGAAATGCACCAAAAAGGATCCATATAAATTTATAAAATCATAAATTTATTACAAAGCCACATCTCAATCTCAAGAAATCCGCATAAAAATGCTTGATCCCTAGACACTTTTGATGTGTGTAGTTTGTGAATGAGCATTTCGACGTGGTTTAATGGTCTAAAATTTCGACTGAAACAGTATAATCACAGGTATATATTTTTGACTCCCAGTTCATACTTATAAAAATAAAGTGAACAAAAAAGGGGTGGAACTTAGGTGTGTTTGGAGATGTAATAAGTAAATGTGTAAGTATGTAAGAAGATTTAAGTAGAAAATGAAACAATAACATATTAAACAACAATTATTTTATTTTAAAGAGTTAGTCTATCTCTACCCTGTTGGGTACAGACAACTGCTGCTTAGTGTTCATGGAAACTTTGACGATTGCGATTGGCGATACGAATACTTTATCGATAGTTGTTCGTGCATGGGGAACGGAAAAGCAATACTTGTGTACTATTCCAGAGGAATTAAAAATCTTACAATTTGCATGACAAGGACTTTTTCCTGAAGTTCTACCATTGAAATTAACTTTATATAATGGAACAATTATTAATTAATTAAACATTTAGAAATAATAGTAATTTTCTTATAAACTTCACATTAATAATACAGACAAAAGTATTGAACCAAGGATAGGAATATTGAAACGAAAACAGAATACCATTAACAGATATAATTCATTGTATTTGACTAGTTGATAGAAAAAAAAAACATTTTTACTGTACATAAAAAATTATGAGCGCTTAGGAGATAAGAAATAGGGTATTTGACAAGTTTTAGAAAACGATCTCACGTTTTTGACTAATGTTTATTATGGAGTCCGTAAAAAGTGGGTATTCAACATTCTGTTGTGTATTTCAGTAAAAATAACCAAATCAAAAACTCAATTTTCAAGTTGCCGCGAAAACGTTTCTCTGGACAATATGGCGTCTTACTAGTGTGTAACGTCACACGACTGTTATTAAAAGGTCAAACGATACAATGTAATGTCACTTTAACCGGAAGTTTACTTGCGTGTGATGTCATTTTAGGCTCCGCCAATCCCAAGCGTTTTGGGTCACGTGACAGATAAGAAAACTATTACTTTTTCGTGGGTATTTAGTAAAATTATGATTTTTTTTTCTAAAAATAGTAAAAACCCCTGCCCTTATTCATTATAAACACAAATGCTAACAATTGGCACTTTATTTTTAATACTGTCAAATACCCTATTGTATTTCTTCATAATTATAGAAACTTTTTAGTATATATTAATGACTAATAGAAAGTATACTTAGGCTATTGTAATTATAACCAAACACGCGATCAAAGTGTGCAGTGCGGATAAGTGCGTCCTAACGTGTGATAGATTCAGCTGTATTGAAAAATAATAGCTGCGTTCGGTATTTGCGTCTCATCATCATCATCATCATCATCAGCCTATTAATGTCCCCACTGCTGGGGCACAGGCCTTACCTATGGATGGAATAGGGAGATTGGGCCATGACCCACTACGCGGGCCCAGTGCGGATTGGTGGATGCTTACGACTGCAGATGCGGCAGGGAACAACGGCTTAACGTGCCTTCCGAAGCACGCAGGAACTCGAGATAGAAGATTTTTGGCCACCCATCCAATGACCGACCACTGCGAATGTTGCTTAACTTCAACGATCGCGCTATACACCCGCGCCATCGAGCTCCTCATTTACATAATGACATATAATTTCGATAAACTGTTAACATATAAGTAATGTTGTCATAGACGTTATGGATTACAGGATCAGTACCCCTAGCAGGAACCATTATCGAGTTCGAATAGTTTGCGAGTGCGAAATGTAAATGTCAAATTTTGTTTGGAAACTTGAACAGCAGCGCCCCCAAATCTATAATATCTACCATCATTCGCATGAGACTGGGCCATATATGTACTCCAGTTTTTCTGGCCAAAATCAAAGTACGCGATCATTCACTCTGTGAGAGTGGGTTAGATGAAGGGACCCTTAAGTACATATTGTTTCACTGCCCAAAAATTTCCGTTCCCCTGTATAATTTATTACCAAAAAAGGCAAGCCGTCCCATTAATATTAATTATATGCTAACCCAAGTACAATCCCCCTTAATTTACATACTGAGCAAGTTCCTGAAACAAAATAATATAAAACTTTAATTGTAGTAACTCAAAAAAACCCTCCTCTTACCCTAGTATACTATATCAATACATATATTTATCTGTGTCTCCATATTAAATGCATGGGTGCCTGGTATCACAAATGTTTGTCTATGTGTTGTTACAGATACTCAACGAGTCTGCAGTCGTCATACCACAAAACATCAACAAAACCGTACAGACTCAACATATACCTTGTTTCCTTTAACCCATAATCATGAAAAAAATTAATTTAATTGAACAGCAGCGCCACAAAGTACGTAACGAGAACTAAATATCAGTACACATTTGACAATGACATTTCGGACTCGCAAACGTTACGAATTCGATTTTGGTTCGTGCTAGGGTTACTGTATAATATTAATTCATTACTTACACCTATTTGTTTACAGTTTGACACCAATTTTATTCCAATAAAAAAAACATATGCTAAATAATTTATTACCTATATTACCTAATAATTTAAATACTTTCATTACTATAATAATTACATTTTAGGGTTTCTTTACGAATAAAATATACTTTTATTATTAATTAATAACCCTTTCTGGTTATGTATAACACAGGAGTCATGTATGGGTCACGTTTAATATTAATAAATACGTATTATACAGGGTTAATTTTAAAACACCAGCAACCTCTTAGGGGGTGATTCTACCCATCAACAGGAACAATTTTTATTATGGGAACAACGCTAAAATCGCGAAAAAAAATCAGCTGTTTCATACATTTCGGTCGATTAGCTGATGCACTTTTGTATTATTTTTATATTATATTGTATTTGTGGTGTCGTGAGAGGCGGGTCGTTACGTTCCCTAAAATATGGTTGAGCGAAGCGATGGCTGGTTCATGCGTCATGCTCGTGAACGGCTGCTGCCAGCGGAGATGAGTCTGCCCTAACTACTTTGATATTTAAGATGTAAATGTTTAATTACACCTATTATAAATAACTCTGTTTGTATTTATACTGTGTGACACAGCAATCAAAATGCAGGTGAACAATTAATGTATAATTTGACATTATGTAATGAAAGGTGACTTCATAAATCATCTCTGAAGTCATTTTTCAACTTGACTCTGTAAATGATAAAACAGGGAGAAAAAACAGCCCTTGCTGAGTCTTCTCAGTACAAGGTCTCCCGCCGTAGATTTACGAACCGATGGCGTAGCTTCTAGACATTCATATGTGCTTGTAACAGCCTAAACTGAATAAATGATTTTGATTATGATTATGAAACAGCAGATTTTTTTTTCGCAATTTCAGTGTTGGTCTCGTTATAAAAGTTGTTCCTGTTGATGGGTAGAATCACCCCCTAAGAGTTTGTTGGTGTTTTAAAATTCCCCTTTATATTAATGAGTCTATGTTCTATAATTACTGCGTATAATATACTTTGTAGTATAACGTTTTTGACCTCCATAAACTGTATGTGTTGTCGAATTTCAATAAGTACACCCCTTCACCTGGGTACGTGTGCGAACCAGCGTATACCTGAAAGTAGAATAATCTTAAATGAAGATAAAATATTATAAATTTACTGAAAAAGAATGAGCTGAGCGACATTTTCTTGGTGAATGGTATGGTAATATAAATTTTATTTCGTTCCGCCCACCTTTGGAAAGCGGGTATAAACGGACACACAAGACATGGTAATTTTAAGTGTTAATTGTAAGGTAGGAATACAGCTTGCGGAAGTACTATTAAAGTTTCGATATAGAGGCAGCATGACAAACAAATACCATAAGCGATACGTGCTAGGATGGCAACCTGCCTCGTTGGTTTCCGGTTGTGTCCCAAAGTTGATCGTTTGGCACAAGAAGTGTCGAGTGTCACGAGGGTCAAATGTGCAGAGAAGTATCATGAGAAGTCACGATTGTAGTGTCAGTAGGAGTCAACAATTAGTGTTGGGTAGGACACGACTTGAAAAAGAGTTTGTAAGAGTAGCCTCTTTTTTGTACTGAGCCAGTACAATGTCCCACTTCAAATGTGGTGAGGCGTACTGAAGCTCGGCAATACATTTGAAGTGACGAGTACAAATATGACATTGGGGCGTACAGAAGCTCGACATTACGTTTGTGTGCACGAGTAGCACCTCCTCTACGCACTATCAATGTTGGTGGATCCAGCATGCAGGACAGCGCTATACAAGTAAAAGAGATAGAGATACAGATGGATAGTGCGTAGAGGACTTAAATAAAATATCATGCCTCGCTCTCTCTCAGTCAGACTTACGAAGAGTGAGTGAGTAACGAGACGCGACTATCGCGACATTTAATGTGAAGTAGTACATTTTAAAATTTTGAGCCGCTCTTACATTTTGACGTCATGTCCGGGACAAATGTACCGCCTCTTGTAAGTCCTACTCAACACTATCAACAATAGTGTAGAAACACTATACTACCAAATTGAATACAGTATAAATTTCACAAAGATGCGGGGGGGGGGGGGGGTTAGACACGGTATAAATATCAAAAAGGAGGGGGGAGGGGTCAGACACGGTATAAGTATCACAGATCTGGGGGAGGGGGGGGTTAGTCTAAAACCCCTCCAGCAGGATGCTACATACCTCTGTGTGACAGTCGCGCCGGTATATCGGCACCACGAGGCTGACGAGCGGGCGCGGCGCGGCTGCGGACCGTCTCTCGCCGCCTATCTCCGGGTCTCCGGTGCCTTGTATCGTGAATTCTGACCAAGGAAACACCTTTTTGTTATGCATAATAGGCAATGCGTTTGACCACAATCTCGCCTGATGGAAAGCGATGATGAGGCCTACGATGGTACACGCCTGCCTAGAAGATGCCTGTTCACTCTGGCCTTGAAGAGGTCCAGATTATATTGGTCCGGGAAAACAGACCTCGGTAAGGAGTTCCGCCTCCTAGCCGTTTGCATAATGAAAGCGGAAGCAAATCGCTTCGTGCGAATGGGAGGAACTTCGACAACATAAGGGTGAAAGCCCTCGCCGCGTTTCTTTCTTACTTTAATTTATTTTATTTATGTATATAGTTCATAATTATAATCTTTAAATTAACCAGAATTCAGTTTAGGTTATTCAGTAAACGACGCAAAACAACGGCGGATGACCTTATTTTGAGGAGATAATGCTGCAAAGGCCGCTTTTTCATACCCATTTGTTTATCTACCCTACAGTATTGTCAATTAAAAGATGATAACGAACTTATGAAATGTAATAGCGAAATCACTTGAAATTTCATTTGACGAAAGTTCTGTTGCATGTACGAATTTGCAATTAATTTTATTTATTGTTTGGTAATTTTTAAAGCATTTAACTGCTAAAAAAAAACATTCGGTCAAGACATCAAAGAGGATTCGAACCTCACCGCACCTTCCGACCTTTCTTTCGCCAAAGAACAAACGCCTTCTTATGTAAATAATAAAAAACATATCCGAGTCAAGTAACCAAGCATAGATAACATGGCTATGCTCTACCAAACCCACATATAAGCAGCACCTATTGATGGTTGCCCATAAACTTACTATCTCCCTAATAACTTATTGATTTGAGACCTCCGTGGTCGAGTGGTTTGTACGCCGGGTTTCATGGTGTCACCGACTCGAGAGGTCCCGGGTTCGAATCCCGGTGGGGGCAGATGTTTGTGTGATGAATACGAGCATTTGTACTACAGTCATGGATGTTTAATATGTATTTATATATAAATATACTTATATGTGTACTGTATATTATGTATTCTATCCGTTACCCTAGTATCCCATAACACAAGCCTTACAGTGCTTACTTTGGGGCTAGGCTAATTGGTGTGAATGTTTTAAAAAAAAATAAAAAAATAAAAAAATCCGTCTACATCTGCAGTCGTTAGCACCCACCAATACGCACTGGGCCCGCGTGGTGAGTCATGGTCCAATCTCCTTATTCCATTCATAGGGAGGTCTGTGCCCCAACAGTGGGGACATTAATAGGCTGATGATGATGATAGCAGCAACATACCTTCGTCCGCGTCTCCATAGCCATCATCTTCGGCGTCATCCTCTTCATCGCTCTCCGACACATGTATGGTCACCTCAGTGGTCGGAGACTTGCTCCACTCGAAGTACAATCCGAAACCTAAGGGTGGAATAGTCAATTAGGAGACCTTTTACTAGCTTCGTTCGGTATTTGCATCGCAGACGCGACGGATTTTTGGTCACATGATCACATATTTGTTTCTTAGGTTTTCACCTACACCACTCATTAAATAAAGCTAGTAGTAGCTAGTTTTAACGGTATAGATGCACTGATTTATTTATTTTTTGACGTTTCGCATCCTTTTCAGGATGCGTCGTCGAATTATGATATTTCAGGATTCGTCGTCTGAATTATGATCTATACCGTTAAAACTTGTTTAATTACGTGATCACCGATTAATCTGAGCAAATTGCTATTAACGAATGGCCCGACCAACCATAGATTAATTTCTAACCTCAAACAGAAACTAACCTCACAAGATTACAGATACCGAGTGTTTCGGCGTTATGCGTACTCTTCAATAAAGCTCAGTTGTTTACTTCAATAATGCGTATATTGCGAATATAATTACAAAATAAAATAAATAAATGAAAATTGCGAAAGAAAGTTGAGCGTACAAAATTTGAATTGCGTAGAGAGTGAAGTGAAAAGGGGGGTTTTTTGATCACGTGGGTCAAAGCTGCTTCTACTGGTGGAAATGGAGCGACGTTCCGGTGTAGGCAGAACTTTTTACTCAAGCGTCAACATGCCGCCGGCCTTGGAAGCACCAGCGTCCAACACCTTGTCTTCTATGTCGAAGAGGGGACAGATTTTGGAGAAAGCACGACGTACAATACCAGCAGCAATCTGAATGTCTGCCACTCGTGAAATTCCATCTTTCCCTGGCGTGGTGGAAATGATACGACCCAAGCTCCACTTCAGAGGAGGAACGGTATCCTCTTTGATTACAACCAATGTATTAGGTTGAAGATCGGCTCCATTTCCTGTCCATTTTGTTCTGATTTGCAGTTCCGAGATATATTCCTTGTTCCAGCGAGTCCAAAAGTGCTGTCGAAGCTGCTCTAGTCTTTGGTAGTTCGTCAAGCGGTGAACAGGAACATCTGTGTAGTGAGCCGATGCAGGTGCTGTCAAAGGCCGCCCAATAAGGAAATGAGCTGGACACAAAGGGTTAATGTCGTTTGGATCAGAGGACATAGGACTCAGTGGGCGGGAATTTAGGATAGCTTCAACCTGTGACAATACTGTGCTAAATTCTTCAAATGTCAAATGTGCATTTCCAATAACCCTAAGTAAGTGATACTTGCAGGATTTGACTCCAGCTTCCCACAGTCCACCAAAATGAGGTGCGTATGGGGGGATGAATGAGAACTTAATTGATTGTGTAGTTGCGTATTCAATAATATCATCAGAGCAAGTTGACAAAAATTTTGCAAATTCGTTTGCAACGCCTACAAAGTTTCTACCGTTATCTGAGAAAATTTGATCAGGTTTACCGCGACGTGAGATGAATCTCTTTAATGCGAGAAGGTAGGCGTCCGAAGATAAGTCACTAACCAGCTCTAAATGCACGGCGCGAGTTACAAAGCAGACGAATAGACAAACATAACCCTTGACCAACCTTGAGCCTCTGCCTCTGCGGTTTAATGTGAACACCGGCCCTGCATAGTCTACGCCACAATTTATAAAAGGAAAACTCGGAGTGATTCTTTCTTGCGGTAAGTTACCCATCATGGGTGACAAAGTTTTACCCCTCAATCGCTTACAAATAATGCAGTTGTGTACAGTTAGCCTAGCAAGATCCCTACCTCCAACTGGCCAATAATGTTCGCGTATATTGTACAATAGCGCCTGCGGCGCGGCATGCTGCAAATGCTTATGTTCGTCCCGAAAAAGCACCAATGTAAACCAGTGTTTAGACGACAACAACATTGGATGCTTCTTATCATAAGGAAAATCTGCTAAATTTTCCATCCTACCGCCTACGCGTATGATTTGGTCATCATCCATAAATAAATTTAATTTTATCAATTTGTGAGTAGTTTTTAGATGTCCGTTGTTCAATAGCATTTTGTATTCCTCTGGAAACGATTCTTGCTGCGAAAACCTTATAAGATGTAAGTTTGACAATCGCAACTCCTCAACATTGAGTGGCCCGCGGCGGCCGTGATATCTATTACGCGTGTTATGTACAAAACGCAGGACATACGCTAGCGTATATTTCATCCGAGTTTATTGTGAAAATCTTTGAAAAGGAAAAATAGAAATCTCTGTCCTAGCCAAAAAGGTGCAGTTTACCTTTAGTTCAGGTAAATCTTGTTTACTATAATTATTTTCACGGTTGGTTCCGTACTCAATTTCAGAACTATGAAGAAATGACGGTCCCTCCCACCATAATGAGGCTGATTTAAGTTTGTTTAAATACAGCCCCCGGGACACTAAATCAGCGGGGTTGTTGCCTCCACTTACATGATACCAGGGTACATCCTTAACAATTTCATGGATTTCTGAAACTCTATTCCTCACAAATGTTTTTAGCAAGTTAGGAGCCATGCGTAACCAACCCAGCACAATAGTGGAGTCGGTCCAAAAAACTACGTTGTTAAAATCAACAGAGTAAAGGGCTTCACGTACTCTTTTAAACAGTTTTGCACCCAATAACGCCGCGCATAATTCTAACTTTGGGATACTAATTGACTTTAAGGGTGCAACCTTTGCCTTTGAGCAGTAAAGCTGAACAGATACAGAAGAATCAATGTTAATAGTGCGAATATAAATGCATGCTCCATACGCAGACTCCGAGGCATCACAAAAAATATGTAACTCTCGACCTACGGGTTTCATTCCCTGTACGTACCGAGGTATGCGTATGTCACCAAGAACATGCAAAGAAGAGGAAAATCGTTCCCAAACTTCTTTGACATCCCCAGGGACTTCTTCGTCCCAACCTATTTTTATTAACCAAAGTTTTTGCAATAGAATTTTACCTAAAATTACAAATGGACTTAATAATCCTAACGGATCAAAGATTTGTGATATCATTGACATAATATAACGTTTTGTGATAGTTTGAGAACTATCTCTTTTAAATGCTGTGTTAAAATGAAATTGATCCGTAGTATGAAACCAGCCTAAACCTAAAGTTTTCGAATGTATATTCTCACCCAAAGACAAATCTTTAGATGTTTCATGCTGCATTTCGTTTGAATCGAAATTAAACTTCCATTTCCTAAGTGGAAAGCAACCAGAAAGTAAAGTTTTTTCTACTGCTTGACAAGTTTGCAACAAAGATTCCTTACTCTCAGAAGTTGTAATCATATCGTCTACATAATAATCCTCGCTAATAACTCTCATGACGTCAGAATTCGTGCTTTCAGCAGCCAACTGCTTTAAACATCTACAACTCAAAAACGGTGCGGAAGCGGTTCCGTAGGTAATCGTGTTTAGCCTATAAATGCTTAATTGCTCTGACGGATCGTCACGCCATAAGATCAATTGCAAATCACGTTGATCTTCGTGAATAAGACACTGTCGGTACATTTTTTCTATGTCCGCACAAGCTGTGTACCTATTAAATCTAAACCTAATGAGAATAGCCATGAGGTCGCCTTGTATGGCCGGGCCCACCATTTGTAAGTCATTTAACGAAACGCCGTTGCTCGTATTGGCACTTGCATCAAATACCACTCGTAATTTAGTCGTAGTACTGTGCTCACGAAAAACACCGTGATGTGGCAAAAAATAATGTTGTTTCCCGTACTGATCAACACGACTCATATGACCCAAACGTATATATTCATGCATCACGGAGTACCCCCACTAGAGTCCGCATCACGCAAATTTTGTTTGAAATCAAAATCGCCAAAGTCGGTGGCGTGCAGGGAGATCAGCCGCGTTGTGATTGGACACGTCAAGGTCAGATGATATACTCAGTGCAGCGAAGTGATGAGGGTAAGATCGATTTTAGAAAATATCGATATTTTCTATCGATAAATAAAGGACACCCGGCATTATGTGCCAAAGTTGTATCCTTTTTTAATTTTTTTATCTGTGTTTCATAATTGGGTAACGTAGTCTGGCAATATTTGTCATCAGCAGCTAGCTGTCAATGTCAAATACGTAGGTTTGTCAATATAACCTCTATATGTAGCCGGGTCGTCAAGAGAAATAACGGATAAAAAGGCGGGATAGGATGCGAAATGCGAATGATTTTTTTGTTTGTATTTTAGGATTGTCAAATTGACATTTGGTTTTTTATTTAGAAAAAGCAAAGGAATCATGGTTTTTACAGTCACTTGAGTAATATTTTCAAGTAAAATTCTGTCCCTTGAAGATTTAGGGTTTCCATATCAAAAAACATTAATCATTATATAACTTCTTTCCACGATTCACTAAAAATAAGGCAAAATTAGTTTTATGTAGCAAATAATTTTGGCTTCATTTTGAGACCAAATTCAACTGTATACAAGTTTAGCATTTTTTCTATGAAAAGTGCCGGTTCTCCATTGTACAGAGGCCTAGTACTTTGGTGCGCTAGTGTAGCTATGCGCAAACATACTCTCTCCACTTTCTTCCAGCGTTCTAATTACATGACGCGACTAGTAACTACATACCAAAATAAAATATAAGCAACACAAAAAACACGTAAAAAAATATCTAGATAGACAATAATATGCTGTTTATGACAACTTTTAAAACTTAAGGCGCCTTACTCATCGGCTCGGTACAGGTTCGTTTTGTTTTCGGGAGTGACTGTCAGTGGTAAAGTGACGAGAACATATGTAACTGTTTACAGTTGGAGTCCAATCTTTACGTTTAGTTGCACTTATCCAAAGTTCCTTCATCTTGGCACATTTTGGAAACCTATGAAATAAATAAAACACGTAATGTTACTGTATTTTGATTCTCGCATCAGTCTGTAAGAAATCACCTTAAATATCTCTTTAAAGATTTTGCTCGTTGCTGTTCTCGTGAAAGGCACATGCGATATACAGACTTAATGAATTTAATATTAATACGGTGACGTCCGTGGCTCTTGACTTAGCACACGCAAAATAACCTAAGTATAACCAAATTATTGATTTTGAAGGAACTTGGTAAAT